CCTGCATATGTTTCTGGACAAGATGTTTCTCCAATGATGAGCATGTCTACATGCAGAGCTGAGTAGAAATCTGACCCAAAGGTTAAGGCAGCAAAGGAGACAGACAATCTGAAGGCAGAGATGCCAAGCCATTCACCCTGTTCCAGTCCTCCACTGGACATTTGCAGGACCAAGAGTCTTTTGAGGAATGGCACTTATAGTGAACATGAAACTATTTCACAAAACAGAGAATATTCAAGAGGTGAAACTGAATTCTATTGCCAAGAACCATGAAGAGGTCCAAGGACTGAGCCAAAGTACACACTTGTAGGACAACTTCCCTCTTTAGTGGAGCTGCACTGTGATTCATTTGAGAGAGAGACATCATATGTTATTTATCAGGTTCCTTTTGATGAAATTTTGGCACTTATATTCATTCACTGCTGCACTAAATTGGTTTGGATTTTTATTTTAAGCCAGTCTCACCATTTAAAGTCTTGCCTCAGTCTCCAAGGGAAATTAGTTCCAGGACTCCCCCAATCCCCATACCAAAATCTGCAGATGCTGAAGTCCTTTAAGTACAATGACACTGTAGTATTTCCCTACAAACTTCATGCATCCTCCTAAACAGTTCAAATCATCTCTAAATGGTCTGTAATACTCAACACAATGCAAAAGTTTTGTAAATAGTTGTTACAGTGTATTATTTAGGGAATAATGACAAGAGAAAAAGCCCCCACATGTTCAATACTTTTTTTTTTTCCCATCCACTGTTGATTGAGTCCAGGTTTGTAACCTATGAATATGGAGGGCAAACTGTACTTTGATGATGTCTAAATTTTAATCTTCAGCCCAGACATGGCACTTAACTCCTCAATCTCACTTATTTGACACTCTATTCATGATCAGACCTATTTTCAAAGTAACCACACATTCTTTAAAATTTATTTTTGAAGTCATCATCAATACATTTCTCAAGTGTTTAATCAAACACTGCAAACCCAGTTGGATTTTCTAACTTGGGCATCTAACACTTACAACCTTGTTGTGCTGTCTGAAATTTTCCTGAATAATAATGAACTAGTGAAGTTTGTAATTTATAACACGAACTGGAATGAGCTAGAAAGAGCACCAGTGATCTGTGCATTCTCAGAGGGAGCTTCCTACCCTCTCAGTTGCTTCAAGGTTAGGCCCTGCCACAGGCTGGGCCCTGAAGCTGACAAAAGAATTAAATACCACGTGGAACACTCCTCAAGTTTAGCAGGAGAAAATCTGCAAACTCTGGTCAGGCGGACGGCTCAGGAATCCCAGCCGTGGCTGGAAATGAGCAGTGTCGGTGTCAAGGAATCTTCAAACCTTGGACCACAGGCCCTGGGTGATTATCAGCACAACGGAAGGCGGAAGCCAGACGGATTGTGCAGTGAGGGAGGACTTGACCAGGGGGAGGGGAGGGTGGAGGCAAGTATTCTCTGCACTCCCAAACAGAGCCTCCGCCATAACACGCAGTTCAGAGAATGCGGATTCTCCATCAGCAAAGTGAGGTAGAGGGTCTGTTCTACAAAGCAGTGGGAATGTCATTGGAACTTTATCTCCCTACTTCCCAAGACTGACTCCAACTCCAAGTAGGCAAAACAAGGACACTCCGATAGGCACTGCGCACAACGACAGAGAAAGGAAGCCAATACTGCAGCTCTCTTCACGAGTTAGTGGGCGGCCCTAAAAAGGGCCTTTGGTAAAGAGGACAAGGGTCGGGGAGAGCAGAACCCTCAGCCGCCAAAGCCGTAGAGGGTGCGGCCCTGGCGCTTGAGCGCGTAGACCACGTCCATGGCCGTGACCGTCTTGCGCTTGGCGTGCTCCGTGTAGGTGACGGCGTCGCGGATCACGTTCTCCAGGAACACCTTGAGCACGCCGCGGGTCTCCTCGTAGATGAGCCCGGAGATGCGCTTGACGCCGCCACGGCGGGCCAGGCGGCGGATGGCGGGCTTGGTGATGCCCTGGATGTTGTCGCGCAGCACCTTGCGGTGGCGCTTGGCGCCGCCTTTACCTAGGCCTTTGCCCCCTTTTCCGCGGCCAGACATAGCTAAGGTTTCAGGATTAGAACCCTAGAAGAGCGAAGCTACTCACTGAGGCACGTACTTGCACCACGGCTAATTATACTCCGCCATCGGACCTGGTTGAGAACTGTAAGCGGGAAGCGAAGAGGAGGCACGGCTGAACCTTCGCTCCGCCCCTCACTGGGCAGTGACCCGAGGACCCAGAGAACTGGATACTTCCACTTTTGAATCTGTTGCCTTGTTCCCTGTGGTTGACTATGTGATCTCTGAAGCTGTCGCTTTGCCTAAGAATTTCAATAAGGGCTCATGTTTTAATAACAAACTCTTGAAAGACCTAAAAATATCATATTGATAATTTAGATAAAAGTTCTTTTTAAAAAGGCTAAAGAAAATCATCCTGATCTTTATTTTGTTTCAAAAATGCGGAAGTTGAAATCCCATGAAAGATGTCCTCCCTAAAATTTAACAAAAAGCACCATTCTTGGGCTGGGGTTGTGGCTCAGTGGCAGAGAGCGCTTGCCTCACACATGTGGGGCACTGGATTCGAACCTCACCACCACATAAAAATAAAGATATTAAAAATAAAGACTACCATTCCTATCACGGATAGGAACTAAGGCTAAAGATATTCTGTACAAATAAATCCTGTTGTAACTCTTTGTCTTTTCTCTGCCCAATATAATGCCATACCTCAAACACCTTTGCTTTCTAACATTCAGTATATAAGTAATTGACTAACTGCTTTTTGTCATCATCTCCTTGTAAGGGTTCTTATACCACATGAAACTTGTGTCAAATAAATTTTTAAATAAGTCTCCTGTTAATTATGTAAATTTCCACTATGCTGGTTGAACCAGGATCCTAAGATAGAGATACAGTTTTGCTACCCTTTCAAGACATTCTTTTTCATTAATAGGGAATGTTTGTATGTGGCCCTGTAATTTTGCTCCCCCTCCTTCATTTGTAAAACAAGTAAAGATAACCGTTCATGGAAATTTTGTGAGAATTTGAATTAGCAAACATGAGTAAAATGTTAGAACAGAGACTGTTCCAAAGAAATGCTGCATAAATGTGGTTAATTCTAGCATGTTTTACTTTGAAAATGCGCTTGAATTGTGATATTGACTTATGCTCCTCAATTTCGGTGTCTTACTACCAGTACAATATCACAGCAGACATTTATGTATTAATGAAGATTTTTTTTTAAATCACAGCGTGTAATAAAAGATATTGCAAATTCTTGTTTTTTAAAAATTACATATATGTGTATGTGTGAAAAAAAAAATATATATATATATATTTGGGGGGGGGGTCTAGGTGTAGTAAGAATCATACCCTTTGGACTTTCCCACAACTGAGTCTGGAATGCAATTCAAATCTCCAGATCACCATAGGCTTCTCCCGATTGTGTTAATTTTCCCTTAAAATGTGCATTAAGCAGAATAAGTTAGACACTTTCATTGTAGAAACTGAAAGGCCTGCTTCTGAATTTTCATCTGACCAATACAGCCTGAACTTCTTTTTCTTCTTGAGGATCCTGGACCTTTCACAAAAGAATCCCAAATCGGGCTGAGGTTGTGGTTCAGTGGTAGAGCACTTACCTAGCATGCACTAGGCACTGGGCTGGATCCTCAACACCACGTAAATGTAAAATAAAGATATTGTGTCCAGCTAAAACTTAAGAATAAACATTAAAAAAAAAAAGCCTCCCTAATCAAAACAGATACCAACAGCATTTACTGTGAACTTTGGTGTAACATCACTCTTTGGTGCTTGGAGAAGAAAAACCATGTTTAGCTGAAGACCCTGAAAGAACAAACACCTAATGTGTATTCTCTGTACAGTTAGAGGGAGAAAAGACCGGACAGGATCCCCATTGAGGTTTTCCAGCTGAACCTGAAATTTTGGCATGAAACAATTTATCAAGACAAAAGCACACAAATGTATTTCATATAAGTTTTATGAGACAGGTTAGCCTCTAAGTTGAAGAGAGATGTAATAGTGTCTGAACAATGTGATGCGGCTTATGGAAAGTGGGAATTATTTTAATTATATCTGTTTATATGGAATCATCTCAGCTATGACTCCTTACTGAAGAATATTTCTTTTCTCTTGGTACAGGCACAGCATCAGCATTTTTCATAATGAAATAATTTTGGTTTTAGGAAACAGAGGGGAAATTAGAATGCCCTTCTTCATCTTCTACTTTTAAAGACCTTGGGCTCAAAATAGTCATTATGCAAAAGTAGCCAGTCCATGGGGAAATAAATGCCATTTCTGCCCAAACTAAAAACCCCCATTTGCTCTCCAGCCCTCCCAGATCATTTCCCTAATACATAGCAGTAAGTGCTTAACCCAATATTAAATGGTGGCACTAGTCTTTATTAAAATGTTCAGTTGTTCAGTAATTTTTTCCCTTGCATATGAACTTCTTCTATTATTTAATTTTTAAATATGTGCTCTAATTTTATTTCTAAGCTGAGATCAATGCAACTTAGTAATGCCAAATAGAAAAGGATTTAAGCAAGCTAAAGCTTGGATTATTTCAAATCTTTAAAAATCAAAGGGCATAGTGGAAACCAATTCACAACTTGGGGAAATTGCTATATGCCTGAAAATGCTCGTATCAGAATGATTATCAGGTTACCTCCATTTATGATAACTAGGAAACTAATTGGTCTTAGATGACATCATAAGTTGGGAGCAAGCCCCACCCAAATGCATGTGCAAGAGGCTGGCATCAAGTCTTCCAACTATGAGATTGACAAGAGCAAATTCGAAAATTATGCCAAAGTTTTTTGCTGAAGACTATGTAGCACTGCAGAAGATGTCAAGTAAATTAAGACTGAAAGCAGAAGCCATTTTTCCCCCATATAGAAATATGGGGGCTAAAGGGATTATGGTTAATAGCCAAGTTAGATACAGTTAACTGCCGTTCTTAAGTGTTCACAGCTGCTTTCCGTGTAACACTTAGGTGGCTCTGAAAAGAGCCTTTGGGTCATTTACACTAGGCCGGAATTGGGTTGCTTTTATGCCCTCTCTCCCCGGATGCGGCGCGCCAGCTGGATGTCCTTGGGCATGATGGTGACGCGCTTGGCGTGGATGGCGCACAGGTTGGTGTCCTCGAACAGACCCACCAGGTAGGCCTCGCTGGCCTCCTGCAGCGCCATGACGGCCGAGCTCTGGAAGCGCAGGTCGGTCTTGAAGTCCTGCGCGATCTCGCGCACCAGGCGCTGGAACGGCAGCTTGCGGATCAGCAGCTCGGTGGACTTCTGGTAGCGGCGGATCTCGCGCAGCGCCACAGTGCCGGGCCGGTAGCGGTGAGGCTTCTTGACGCCGCCGGTGGCCGGGGCGCTCTTGCGAGCGGCCTTGGTGGCCAGCTGCTTCCGCGGCGCCTTGCCGCCGGTGGACTTACGCGCTGTCTGCTTGGTGCGAGCCATGCGGAAAGCCGAAGGAACGTCTTCACAGACTACTGTGAGTGTTAAAATCCACCCTTCCTTTTATACAATCAGATTACTGACTATTGGGCCCAAGAAATTCAAAAGTACCCGCGCTTTTCCTGGATTGGTTCATCTCCTTGCTGAGGTCTCCGGATAAAGAGCTGCCTACAGGCTGATGCACAAATCCGACACCCTGCTCTTTCCGGTAGCTATTTTCACATTCTTTTATTTTTCTTTTTTGAGTCTGTGTCGGTTGTAAACGAAAGTATTGCACCACAATGTCTGAAGAGACAACCACACAGATCTACAATATCCAATAGATGCTGGCAAAAAAAAAAAAAAAAAAAAAAAAAACCGTATTAAAATATCTTGGAAGCCATTTAGGGAAACTTGGTGGGTGGGTTTCATTTGAAATGAAATTTTACCTGGGCATGGCACTAGTAGGGTGGACATTGTAAAAATTATGGCTTTGTAGGATGAATTGCTGAAAGTTAATCGCTAAGTTCATTTTGCTCTTCATTGCTGTATTTGGGTTTTGATTTACACTGAGGATAGAACCCAGTACTTTGAGCATGTTAGGGAAGTGTGCACTGAGCTATATATATCCAACTGTTTTTGTACTCAGGATTGACCCGTGGGGTGTTTTATGTAGAGCAACATTCCCATCTGTTGAGGTCTCACTTGGTTAGCTATTCAACTTGCCATATACAGCGGCTTATGTGAAATAGGAGGGATTCATCGTTTCCTTCTCCCCACAGTATTCAACAACTTTCGTTTCTGCAAAAGGTTAGTAATCCCGCAGATCCCGCAGCACTACGTTTTGCTGTGTAGCCTTTCTCCCCACCTGTGATAATTAAACTATTAGGGACAACCAGTCTTCTTTTTAAGGCTTAACTCTAAGCATAACAGCTCATTTCACAGAAATAGTGGGTGGCTCTTAAAAGAGCCTTTTGTTTATAACCTTGATAATTTTTCCGGCTCATGGAAAACTGAAAGAGGCCAGTAGTTATCAACGCCTTATTTTCCCTTGGCCTTGTGGTGGCTCTCGGTCTTCTTGGGCAGCAGCACCGCCTGGATGTTGGGCAGGACACCACCCTGAGCGATGGTCACTCGGCCCAGCAGCTTGTTGAGCTCCTCGTCGTTGCGGATGGCCAGCTGCAGGTGGCGCGGGATGATGCGCGTCTTCTTGTTGTCGCGGGCCGCGTTGCCAGCCAGCTCCAGGATCTCGGCCGTCAGGTACTCGAGCACAGCGGCCAGGTAGACGGGCGCGCCGGCCCCGACCCGCTCCGAGTAGTTGCCTTTGCGCAGCAGCCGATGCACACGTCCCACCGGGAACTGGAGACCGGCCCGAGAGGAGCGAGTCTTGGCCTTGGCCCGAGCTTTGCCGCCCTGCTTACCGCGTCCAGACATTTTAGTTTGGCTTAAGAAGACAAAAAGATTCTACAGAAAACGTAGGTAAAATGCCATGAAGGCCTGGAAATGAGACATATTTATACTGATTGGAGGTAGGCTGTGCGGAGCTCTCCTATTGGCTAATGGGAAATACCCAATGGGCAAACAGAATTTGAATCCTTCATTTGCATACAGCTCTTCCATCTACTGTAAGGTTTGTGTTTTATCCAATCACCAATCGTACATGATGAGCCTTACTTCAAAACCAATAATAATTGCATCAATTCAATTTTTTTTTCTTTTTTTTTAAACCAACTGTGGGCTGGAGTCTTTCCGCTCATTGTTGACTTTGGGCCACTCGTTCCTTTCCGGAATTGAGATTTATAATTTTCCAAAGGAATGGGTTCAGAATCTTTCCCAGAAGGCCATGAAAATGTACTTCTTAACTTCACAACGGAAAAGAGGGAGGAAGGGAACAAATGATTCTTCATCACAGCCCACCTCTAATTTCACGACTTGAACAACGAAAATAGGGCAAGGACTGCATTCTGGATGCTGGAGAACTGATAGATTTTTATTTATTTCCCTTGCCCAGGGTAATACTGACTATCACCTCCAGACTGGAAAAAAAAAAAAAAAAAAACCAACTTTTGCATGATTCTCCACTACCATTCCTAACCTTCCTGCCCTTGAAATTTTCTCCTTTGATTACAAACAGAATTCTGCTTATTTCTGAAACCTCTCCACCAATCTCTACCCCCTTGAATTTATGAAGTTGATAATTTACCAACTAAAATTTTAGTTGAGAGGGAATACTTTCCCACCACTCTGAGGGTTTGACAATCAGTCTGTGAAATAAATAGACAAGAGCATATTAACAGGAGAAAAGGGTATGTGGATTATACAAGAAAGAAAATGAATACTCAAAAGCCCAGTGAGCTCTAGAAGCTGCTATACTCTTCAAGGGGGCATGGTACCTGGGGGAATCTGATTTTGAAGAAAGAGATAGGGGTCCTCAGGATACAAGATAGTCTGCTTGGCACTGTATTGACCTCCAGTCTCTTCTATGATATATGTCATCTTCCCTGTTTGATAAGATTCCTAAAGGAAATTTATGGCATCCTCTTTAGGCAGGTAAAGTGATTCCATGGAAAAACTGGGTTTGCTCTTCAACAAGTGCCCTCAGTTGGCCATAATCAACTTGCCCAAGTGGAATGCTTAAGGATATTATTTCCTGAATCCTTTCATAACGTTGAAGCTCATAAATAAATATGAGGAGTCTCTAGGTTGTTCTAAGAAATGAGAAAATACACACTATCTAGCACAGAAATACTCAAGTGAGATTATATAAAATGAAACACTATTATAAATATGACTACGATTCATTAATTGTTAGTAAGCTCTCATGTCAAGGAACATAAAAATCAAAAAGAGATAGCTAGGAGATAAAGTACTGTTTTCCATTTTATGTCACATTAGACAGGAACAGATGGCACCCAGTTGGAGGGGGATCATTACTTCTGAAGGCTCAGATCCAAAGATCTACTCATACTCAAAGAAGAACATATGAACAAGGACTTGGGTGTGAGAAATCTGCAGCCTGGGGATGCTGCTTAGTGTTAGAGAATTTCCTAGCATCATGTGTGAACCCCTGGGTTCCATCCCCAGCACCAATTTAAAAAAAAGAAAAAGAAAGAGAGAAAGAAAAGAAGAGAGAGAGAAACTAACTTCCATGAACACATAATCCTTGGGAGACAAGAGATGGCAGGTTCATGACCAGTCTGGGCAATTTAGAGAGACCCTATCTCAAAAAAAAAAAAAAATAAATAAAAAATAAGGGTTAGGTTTTAGTTCAAAGGTAGAGTACACCCAGGTTGATTACCCAATACCTAGAAGGGGGGAAGGAAAGTACAGAAAAATAAATTCTGATCTATTCTTAAGTCACATTTGTAACTGAACAATGATTTTTGATCCAGGGAAACTGGCAGGAGAGTAAAGGTGCTCATTTTCTCTTAGCAGTTTGTCTTCTCTCAAATCTTCTGATATATGACTTTCAATTATAGTCAGAGTTCTATTATTTTTAATGACTGTCTTCACTTTCAACACCACCAAATATATATTTAAGACATTTTCCTAAAAGGTCGACAGTCTTTTGAGAAGTGAGGACACACACACACACACACAGATATATATATATATATAGATCAATAAGCAGCGTATCATTTGCATACAAAATGAAGATTTGAGGGACATTTAAGAATACAAGAAGGAGAAGACTGATCACCATAAATTATAAAAATCAATAAAGTTTATGAAAGAGGCATGTGTTCAGCATTTATTCCACATACATCTAATAGGACCTGCTAAATGTCAGTGACCCTTCTAGGTGCCTGAAACATGGTGGGCAAAGCTGAGAGCAACCTGGGCCCTCTGGGTACTAATTTTCTTGTTCAGAAAGCTCACAAAAAGATAAAAGGTGTACATGGTACAATGTAGAGTTTTTTGTAATGAGTGCTGTGGAGAAAAATATTGGAAGGAAAGAAGTTGGCATGAACAAGGTGGGGAGAGCCACCATCAGCAAAAGGAGACATTTGAGTTGAGATCTTATGGGTGAAGAAGTCAGTATGGTGGGCTAATTAAATACTTCAGTATAATGTCAGGTGTATTGAAAAACAGAGGGATGTCAGAAGCCAATGGTCAGAAGTTATGCTTGTTTAATTTCCTGAAAAAATAGGCTTTTAGCTGGAGCAATGGAAATGTATAGGGTTACATAAAAATAGAAGCCAACATTAAGAGCTGATTCAAAAACCCAGACTAGAAGAAGGAGTGGAGTACATGCAGCCATAGCATCAGGATTCTATATTGATGCAGTCACAGATGAAACAAACAAACGAAATCTTCCACTGATGCACATCATCTTGAGTCAGATAAAGCAACAAGCACTTGGCATCTGGTATTCAGGAAATAACTTGATGAAATACTGTCATCAAGATTTACAATGTCAGTAAATTCTAAATACCTTTGGGAAAAAAAAAATGTGTGATTTAGGATTTAGAGAGATATTGGGTGTCACCTGTTCCATTCAAATAGGACAGAAAAAGTAGCAATAATAACTCCAACCCCTTTAGCAGTGAAAGCAAGACAACTCTTGTCCCATGGTTGGCATAAACAATGAAATAAATATATATATTTTTTGTTTAATACAAGCAATGAAAATATGTGACTTTACATCCTTGGGGAAAAAAATTCCTTCCTTGAGGTTATTACACAGGGGGAAAATTTTTTCCTCTACTGATTCTTGGTTGTTGGTTTTGTCCTATCATAATAGATAGACAAGATAAAAGCATATCAATTTATTTAATTTTTTTTATACATGGCATAGAAGCCTTAAGAACACTTTGACCTGCACACATAAGTTGGACAGAGTAGTAAACTGTGAAAACATGACAAGACCAAGCAACTTAGACTAGGGCAGAACTGACAGCTAGTTTAGCAAGGTTGGTTTTTACAGAGTTTTTCCCACATTGACTCCCTGATACCATCAGAGGATAGGAATATCTCCTTTCTCTAGGTACAGGTAAGAAACTTTGCACATGGGAGTTTAACATGAGACAAAATTGTGCTGTCTTCAATAGCGTTTAACTCAATTTT